CGACTGCACTATCCTCCGCCTTTTACCATCATGGCTTCATGCGTTTTACACGTTTTGTGCGGATTCGAACAGGACCTGGAGTAAAGACTTGGGCACATCGTTGTTGGGGAATCCCCAATAGGGGGGGGGGTGTCGTATTTGGCCGCCAGGAGAGAGGGTCGCATTTGTTCTAAGGCGTAGAACAAATTACCGTACTTTTAACTCAGCAACAGCAACAACAGGTTCAGCAATAGGACTCTTTCCCCTATTCCCTTTTCCACCAGGCGCAAAGTGGCCCATTGCGCTAGGTAATTCGTCCATTTTGCTTTACAATTTTCGAACATTCTGGAAGCGTAGATTTGTCACAGGCTGGCAAAAGCACCTACACCCGAGGTACCCTTGCGATAACTGGGCTTGAACCAGTACCCCCCTAGAGCTCCTTACCTACCTAGAACTGCCTATTTAACCGGCTGGCACGTCTGTAGAACCCACTGATCTTTGAGCGCGTGCCAACAGACATCTTTATGGGGCCAAAATAGCAATTGTTATGCTGCAGAAAGCCGAAGCCGCATTCACATGCAGGGCACGTCGGGAGTTGGGAATCCGAGGAGGGGCGCATTTCGTCGCTACAGGGAAAGGCCATAATTGCCTTCGGGAAAAGAATTTTGCTTGCTCACTTTTCTCGGTTCTTCGTGTTCCAAATGCGTTTATGTATCACCTTTTTCCCTGGCGGACGCGGTTTTCTGGAGAATAATGGGGAATTCCAGAAAAAAAGGAACTCTCCGGAGAACCGAAGAAGTGGTAGAAAGGTAGGGTGGACTATAGGTAAGGGGGCACGAATTTTTGAGATGGAGGGGACATACTTTGTCAAGATTCTGCTCAACGGCAGGACGTGCTCTGCGTCATACAGATTGATCCTTCCGATTGAAAATGATCAATAAATCAATTAAAACACAGCATAGATGATATACATTATTTACACAACATTTAACAAATCAATATAACTGAAACAATAAATGTTCTCGGTCCGCGAAAGAGTCCGTAGATATGAAGTAGATCAAGAACAGGCAGTTTATAGTGTTGTCATCGACTGCGCGGTATGTGTGTGGTCGTATGAAATCGTGGTCATAACCGCGAACCTGGACTATAAGAGGAGAACGGAAAATTTCGGAAGTAAAGGGGCGGAGCTATCCATGTAAATGGGCGGAGCTGGCACAACACACACATGAGGCGGCAGAACAACAAAATTCACAGCACAACTAAACATACATATAGATACGATAGATTGAGCCGACTTAAAGATGGCGACTGAGGAATTACTGAGAAATCCGAGTGTCAATTGGGGAGCAGTAGGGACATGTCTCTAACTGAGGAAGGACCGAGGGTGAAGGGGGCTGAAAGAAAATTGGGGTCAAAAATTAGATTCCTTTTTTTGCTGGAAACAGCTGTCATCGATGAAGTTGACTGGCAAAGTAGTTCGTGAAATGTCGGCCGGGAAGCACTGGAAGGAGGAACGACTCGGCTCCAACCCGCAACCGACGAGTATAAGGGTCTGGTGTATTTTCCTAAATAAATATCATATTCATAAATGGTATTTATTCAAAGTAATTTCTTCTTTTCGAACTTTTAGAAAATCGACGGCTAAATGAGCTACAGTCTTGTTCCCTCTGGAAGCTGCTGCGTGTGTGGAGGGCTGAATTTGGCGTAGCGCCAGCCCATACCCCACCTATCGCGGAAACTGTGGCGACCACAACTGGTGGAAACGTGCCTGGCGTCGCGCAAAACCGAACCCCTGATACGCGTCCGCGTCCATAGCGAACGAGACTATATAAGGGCGAGCGCCATGTCGGTTAGCTCAGTGCTCTTTCAAGTCCATCTTTACTGCTCTCAATCTACTTCTCTCATAGCCCCATCTGTCCTAACCCACAGCACTTTAGTGACCCACTCAGCCGGTGCGGTTAATTCAAACAAAGAAGAGCTAAAGCGTGTCTTAGAGGAAGAGACGACTGCAGGCCTGTCTCCGCCCATATGACTACCATGGAACGTGCCCGCTCGATACCGATATATATTAGTTCGTTCTAGGTTTAGTTCTGTGAAATACAGCCGCCTTTTGTTGTCCTCTCGAGAGATACGTAATCTCACATTACTGAATTTCTGTGCTATTCACTTTGGGAGAGGGGGAGGGGGGTTGCACTTTCGCTAGTTCCTTTTGCTAGTTCATCTCAACTAATCGGTCTCACTTTGACGAGATCTGTGAGCGGTGAGAAACGCGAACGGTACGAGT